GTCATTTGTCTGACTGTCTGGTGTGTGTTTGATGCATGGTGGAGGCAGCAGGAAGTTCAAATTGCTGCTCATGGGCACAGTGAGAGCCTTGAGCTTTCCAGAACTCTTTCCTAGATATTCTGTAAATTGAATCAATGGTGCCAAATCCATTTCCAGCACTCTTCTTTCCTTTGTGTAGATCAGTTTCCATCTGGTATCACTTTCCTCAGCCTGAAGAATTTTAACATTATCTTATAGTGCAAATATTCAAGGAAAAAATATCTCAGCTTTTTTTGTCTTCATTTTGAATGAAATTTTTACTGGATATAGTGAATATTCATTAGGTTGATACTATTTTCCTTCTGTGCTTTATAGATGTCATTCCACTGTCTTCTACTTGCATGCTTCATGACTGTATGACTGCTTTCTTTGTATTAAGAATCACAAACTTTTTCTGTGAAGTACTCTGATAAATATAGGCTTTGCGGGCCATATAATCTGTCACAACTACTGAAATCTGACGTTGTAGTGTGAAAACAGCCACAGACAAAATGTAAGCAAACAAGGTATGGCAGTGTTCCAACAAAACTTTATGAAAATACAGGAGGCAGGATAGATTTGGCCTATGGGCTATATATAGCTTGCTGACCTCAGTCTATGTGTACTGTATTCTTTTTCTATAGTTGCTTTTAAGAATTTCTCTTTATCACTGTTTTAAAGTAATATGATTATAATTTGCCTTGGTGTGGTTTTCTTTTGTTTATTCTGCTAGTGGTTAGTTGAACTCTTGGATCTTCCATTTCTCTCTTCAGTGTGTTCATGTTTTTCTTAACATTCCTTTTAACAAGCTCCTAGTTTGCAAATTCCTTTCTTTCTCCATAATTTCTGGATGTGTTTCTATTGATTGGTTTTTCTCCTGGGTATGTTATATTTTCTTCCTTCTTTGAATGCCTGATAATTTTTGATCAGATGCTGGATATTGTGAATTGTACTTTCTTAAATGTTGCATTTATTGCATTCATTTAAACTTTGTTCTGTATGCAGTTAAATTACTTACAGAATTTGATCCATTCAAGGTTAGTTTTTAATCTTTGTTGGGTGCAAAGGATTAACCTTTACTCTATGGCTAGTTGAGCTCCACTACTAAGACACAATCCACGATAAAAGGGGAAACTAATCAGTTGGGGAGGTTAGTATGAGAATACTTAAGCATAATAAAACATGGGCAGGAATTTGTCAATTGAAAGCTGGGAGGAAAGTGAAGTGAGCGGGAATGGTATGCTATCCTGAGACCTGTATGTACACAAGCCTAGAGATGGCGAGTACATGATGTTGTTTGTGTAAAAACAATGCAAGGTCTAATATGACTTACGGAGGACAGAAAGGCAAGAAAGGAAGATATGAGGCTAGTAAAGTAAGTAGACTAGATAGGTATATCAAATGAGTTTGCTAAGAACCACATTTCTTAACTTTTTAGATTACCACACATTAGTTTTAATAAAGCAGGTCTCTATTTTTTTTAAAGTCATGTTTGGAGTGCTAAAGGATAAGTGAAACAGACTATAGAAATTTTATTTCATAAAATTTATTGTAAGCCTTTATTAATATGTAATTTGCTTAAGCCTTTTGTTCACGTTTTTCTATTTGTTACTTTTCTATTTGTTACATTCCCTCCGTTAGAGCATTGGCTTTGGAGGTCTGATTTTTACTAGCTACATAATGTTAAACAAGTTTCTTAATCTGAATATTTTCTTTATCCATAAAGAGGTGAGGGAAGGCATGCGTATGAGCCCAGTTACAGGGATGGTATAAGTTAAAAAGACACATAAATATGGGGGTACTTGAAAAAGTTCGTGGAAAAATGGAATTAAAATATGAATCTTTCCATGAACTTTCTGAAGACCCTTTCTGCTTTGCCAACATGCAGCACACGGTAGACACTTAAAATGTTAGCTGCCTTGGCACATTAGCTCCCCTGGATAAAAGCCCCAGGAAAAAAATTCCTTTGTAGCCTAGAAGTTGTCAATCCAGGATGCATATTAAAATCACATGAGGAACTTCAAGAAATGTTGATGCCCAGTCCCCACATAGTTTAATTGGTCTGGGAGGAGGCCTGGCCATGGTATTATTTTTTAAAAGCTTGCCAAATAATTTTAAAATGAATGCAAGGTTGAAAACTGCTGATCCAGACAGGGAAGGCTAACCTTTTCATCCCTCTAAAGTCAAGGTAGGATGTGTTTGTGTACGTGTGTGTGTAGCACAAAAAGCAAAACATGAAAACATCAGATCTATTAAGAGAAAAACAACTGCAGGCTATAACAGACACTGACGAGAGCTGGCAATACACTTGGCCGACTTCTTAGATTCTATTTTTAATGTTAAATCCACACCAGTTATGTAACATTGGTGCTAAAGGTTTTACATAACAAATCCTTTTGAATTTGTGAAACCCAGATTGTTGATTTTGTAAAAATCTTGATTCTAATTTCTTTAAAAATTATTTCTATAGCAATTTATTTTCAAATGGGAAAGCTGTAGGGTTTTTTTTTTTTTTTTTTTAAAAACAGGCTAGTTTTAAAAAAGCACTGTTTACTTGAAAACCCCCCTTTTTAAAGTCCCTCATTCATTTTGAGATTCACTTACTTCCAAAAAAGAACTGTTAGAAAGTTAACTTATTTTGTTAAAACAAAGAAGGCTAACACTGAAGATATATGACAGTTTGGTAAATGCTTAAGAATATATATATGGAACAACTTTTATTTTAGAATTATTTTTTAACTTTCATTGGGATGATCTTCAATTCAAATTTCCTTACTGTTGTACTTTAATCTCTTAGTTACAGGATTACATTATCCAAGATTTAACTTCACTCCTCCAGATGATGTTACTGAGTTATTAATAACAATCAGTTAACATTTCCTAATACATTTTTATAAAATGTGTATAATTTATCTTTCCCTATTGAAGGAATATTTAGATTTAAAAATCTAAACTCATTAGAAAAAAACAGATGGTAAAAGGATATATAAAGTATAGCATTCTTACAAGAAAAATGAGTATGTATTAGTGTACAGTATTATTTCCTCTGAAACATTCATTTAAAAAGTATTCTCTGTATAGAGTGTATTATGTGAAGTACACAAACATAGGAAAAGATATACTGGGAGTTAAGACTTGGAACAAAGTACACAACATTAAAATGGTGATTTACAGTAACTGGACAGATTATGCCAATTATTTTTTTCTTAAACTGTGCTGGGCACACAATAAGCATCCAACTCTTGTAAGAAGATAGCTTTAAAGACGAAGTATATGAAAAGAAGACAACTACTTTTGTAAATAACATTATCATAAAAAGAACAGAACTAAATGAGAAGAGAACATTATAGATTTGAGCTTAAGACCAGTTCTGAAATATTTTTGTTCTTTCTTATTTTTGTTCTCTATATTAACTCAGATGTGAGTTAACAGGCTGTTTGGACCTGTCACAAGGACCTCACAGGCCTCTACACATCATGAGGGATCTTTATCTCTACATTCAAAAGATTCTTCTGGAATCTTAAGGTTTAGAGACAAATGTCAGGGGTCTCTAGTCCTACGCTGCTCTGCTTCTCTGATTATTCAGCTGGAAGAGAGGCTGTGGGAAGATACTTGAGTGAGGAATGAGCTAGAATCCTTCACTTGAGATATGTAAATGTACATGAGTCAGAGTTGCAGAAACATCTGCTGAGAGTACAGATTACAAGGGCTTGCATGACCATGTCACATATATTTCTTTCTTTGCATCTCTCTCTCGGGGAAAAAAAAAAAAATCTACTTTTCTCAATGTGTCAACAAACATCTTTGAAAGGAACAGACTCAGATTTCCAGTTTTTCACCTTTGTTAGTAGTGAAGTGCAATGTGCTCTTTTTAGCAGCAATAAGCAACTTCATTTAAACTGATTATCTTGGGCTGAACTAAAGAGAAACAGCAATAGCACTCCAGTCAGCCTTCAGAGTTAGACCTCATAACATTTGCAAGAGGCAGAGAAAAGTACAAGGGTTAGGTATGCTGGAGAAGGAAAAGAGCTAATATGAAAATTAAATAAAGCAGCAATTAAGTAATAGAGATCCATTAGGATTACAGCAATTGTAAGTATTACCTTATTAAAAAAGTTCAGTTGGATGGGATTTTGAATGAAGCTTTTGATTATTCTGGTTCCAAATATGTTAAATTCAACAAATAATTAATGTCACTATATTTTTAATCTTAAAAGGAAGGCCTTACCTTGAAGTCTTTGGTATTGAGATAAAGTTATAATTTGAATAGCTACAATATTATTACATAACTAGAGTTTCGTCTTTTTGCTATCATTTTGAAAATTCAATACATATTATCTTGACACATAAAATCCTTGAAAGACATGATATTCATAGATGAAACTGTGTAGGGTCTAATTGTCTTTATGGAAGTTCCTAGAAACATCTTAGCTCAATATCAATCTGCCAAGTATTAAAGGACTTTGCCAATTTCAATAAATACTATGACTGATATAATTCTGATTATAAATCATTATCTAGCCGTGGATAACTGAACACATAGGGTAGCTTAGAAATTCACAAGAGAAAGACCACAGGAAAATATGATAAAAATCCTTCTGGTTCATTCATTTATAGAATGTAGGAATCTCGATTAATTCTGCCAAGAATTTCCAGTTTTTAATCTAATCAGTTTTCCTGATCTTCCTGGTGAGTGGAAACAGGTTAGGAGTGGGAGGTGGTGGAATGAAGATGAGGAATTCTGTTTTTAACCACTGCCATAAAAGCTTTGGAAAAAGATAAACCCCATATCACCAAAGAACATTCTTTCCTTAAAGTGTTTTCAGAATAAATGAGACCAAGCTTCAGAACAATGCACAACCATGGATAAGTTAAAACCTTTAGGAAGAGGGATAATTGGGATAACTGTTGAATACTGTATAATCAAGACCCAGGAGAACTGACAAGTTTCCAGTTTCCTGGCAAAAGAAAATGCAGGATGGTAGGATCTGGCATTTTAATATTTTATCTGAAACTATGAAATAGAAGCAACTGTGCAAACCATATGACCCAAACAAACAGAAACTGCCCTCAAATACACAACTCTAGAAATATGTGATCAATGTTTAATATTCTGAGGATTAAGTAGCAAAATCAAAAAAGATTTTTTACTTAACAAGGTTCATTTCCTCTGAGTTCTTCTAAGAGTTAAAAATGAACTATCACACTTATTGATTTAGAACCATCAGATTTTACTTCTGGAAAATCTAATACCTTTCAAAAAGTTATAATTTTAATGTTAGCACAAAAATTACTTCCTAACATTTCATTTTAAAAAAAACCTTTTCTGCAGCCAAAGATTCCTATTTTTGAATTACAGTACTGCAAGGCACATACAGAACTCACCTCCTTCAAAATACACAGAATATATACTCCCTGAAATAGAAGTTAAAATCCTTGAACAATTAGAAATACTATAAACTTAGCAATTTTTAGGTAAAAATGTTGCTCCTACAGGATCATGCAACTTTCTTAAAGTCAACTCAGCACATATGTGTACATAATCTGTTTTTAAAACATTTGTACTTGAAATGCAGATACAGTGATTCGGAAGACAGCACTAAACAAAAACCTGGAAAGTGCTAAAGCTTGATAAATTTTACATTATTGCCTTCATTAGAGACTGTATCATCTCTAGTATTTTCAATGATTTGAATTTAATAATGGGGTAACTACACAGGAAATAAAGGATTTTATTTTCTTTTTCTAAACAATATTTCTCTCACCTCTAGCATCAATTCTTTTATAAAGGATGCTAAATGAATTATATATTTTATTCAGTAAAACTGAAGATAGACCATTTAAATGCTTCTACCAAATTTAATGCAGCTTAATTAGGGACTAGGTACATATTTTCCTCTGAACATTTTTGGTCAAGCATGTCTAACCACAAACGCAAATGGAATTTTAAGAGGTAGATTTTTTCCCATGATGCATTTTGTTAATAAATGTATTGTCAAGAAAATAAAAACAAGCACTGAGTGTTTTCTTAAATTCTAAGGGTCTAATGGAAAGAAAAATAAAAGATAGATATATCTGTTACAGTCTGACATTTTAACAGTCATGGTATTGGATATTTTGTGACCAGTGCATTTTGAACTCTCTCAGGATCAAAATACGAGTCTGCCAACCGTATTAAATCCTCCTCCACCCCCTCCACCAGTTGGTCCACAGCTTCCTGGTGGGTCATTGTCATCAAATCCATTGGGCCGAAATGAACAGGAGACAGATGCAGCTTGCAGGGCCCGGGCTCGAGCATTCAACTCTTGTTCCTAAAATTAAAAATATTTTTGATGAAATTAAAATGCTAAATACAATGGATGGGTATATCACCTACACAAATATTTTAAAATTGTATTAATCCTTAATAAGCACTCTTCAAATCTCAGTAACTTTAAAAATATTGACCATATCAATCCTTACCAAATCCTAGTGAAGTATATAATCACCTTTGGAGCAAAGAAAGGCAGAGAGCAAAATCCTGGTGTAACTCCACAAAATGATAGATCTAAAAACCATTCTGTTTCAATACCTCTCTTTACGAGAGAGGAAACTGAAGTCCTTAAGTCATAAAATTTCTCTACAGAAAATATAACAGTGCCTGCAACTCTCTAATACATATAGAAATGAATTTCTTTTATAATATACAGAAGATACAATTCAAAGGTTATGACAATGGATTATCTACACTCTATCAACTATTTTGGATGTGGGTGATTATAGCAAAAGGTATAAATAAGGAGAAAAGCCTGATTTTTTTTTTACCCCTTTCCTTTTAGACTATTTTTTAATAAATAGTAAGACAGATCTCAAAAAATACTAATAAGTAAAATGATGCCTATCTCCTAACAGTAACACTTAAAACTTTTCCCTACCAGATTATTAGAACTTTTATCAGGAATCAGTCATCTTCCCTTCTGTGACTTTGCTCCATCTGGCAAGGTAATACTATTTTATAACTTCTAGTTAAAATGTTTTAGTTAACTATTCTTCCATCTCCCTCCACCTTCACAAGATGTGCAATTTTTCATTATGAAGGAAAAAACCTGGCTTACCTTGACAGCTATCCCTCACATTTTTGACACCTTATTTCTCAGTAGCATGTGATGACTACTGAGAGACTACTCCAACACACAAAATGATCAAGAATCATGTATTTTTATGGCTGAAAGGGACCTTTGATAAGAAATCCTTATAACAGAATGGTCTAATTAACCAGTCTCTGACAGGGCTTTTAAAACTTAATTTGCAGGGTATTTCTTGAAAACATTTTTTTCATCTATTGTGTCATTTACAACATTTATAATTACTGGCTCCTCTGTACAATGTCTACACACATACACACATACAGAGGCACACATATCAATCTGTAAAATTAAGGATTACAAATGTTTTACAGATAGGAAATAAAAGCCACATACATCAGAAACAGACACAAACATAAGAAACAAAATCTTCATTGATCTAGTTCTACAGCCTATTACACTAACCAAACAAAAAATGAAACTATGACTCTGTATCTAAGATCAATATTTGGTTTTAGGTATAGATGATATTCCCTAATGAGTTAAAACCAAATGAATATCCAAGGTAGAGTTCAAGAAGTTCTGCTCCCAAAAGATACAGCAAATTATGCCGAGACTTTGTTATAAAGTAATTCCCTCCCAAATGCTATGTTGAAGGACACATAAATTATAAAACTAAGTTAAAAACTCCATTGCTTCTGACCTATATATCTTGACATAGAGCTTCCCAAAAGAGTAATATTCTTTTTCTGCTTTATTTTCTATTTATATAATTATATGGCTGACAGAGAAAAATATATGATATTGTTTTCAGAAGACAAGCTTAAACTGAATAAAAGTAGGAAAAACTGTCTTTCATCATATTTCTTTTAATATAGATGAAAACACTGTATAAATGTCAAATTGTGATTCTCACAGAATGTGTAATTTATATTATATATTAAAATCAATCTTAATTTTAGTAGTAGACTATAAATCCAGTCACAGAAAGGAGTTACTATGGTTTTGGGATAAATAACTTTAAGTATATTAAGATTTCTCATTCAAGTAAAACTGTTGACATTAAATGAATCCTCTTATTTTTGTTTAAACTGCACATATGAAGGTACTTCAAAAAGTTTGTGGAAAAACAGAATTGAAAGATCATAATCTTTCCATGAACTTTTTGAAGACCCCTCATACATATTACATATACTCTTCTGTATGTATGATAAAGAAAAAAATTAAACTATCACTCTCTCCAATGAAACAGATGAAAAGCACTGGAACTATAAATTTGGAACTATACCTTAAAATGGGTGTAAAAACAAAAAATGGGAATAAGAACAAAAACATACACATACATGCTTCATGTACTCAAAACTGAAAAATGACAGCTAAAAACTACTGTATACAAAATCTCAACACCATGCTTTCCTATTGCCTGGCAAATATGACAATGTGTTCATCAGCATAACAGAATAAACAATATAGTCTCTTAACAAACTTAAAATGCTAGAATGTAGAATGATCTGGTTAAGTGGTATGAAAAACTTCACAATTCAAACCCTTATCAATTACATTATTGTATGTAAAAGCGAATAATCACAATCTAAATTTATTTAAATTCCTAATTAAGAGTGGAGTATCTATTATTGTAATTTGCCTGAAAATAGGCAAATAACGAAGCTTTTATTTAATAGCCAGTCTTAATACAAGTAAAGAAATACCTTACTGTAAAATTTGGGAATATCTTTCACGCATTAAATGACTTGCTAATCTGAGACTTAAGATGGAATTTAGAACAACTGCACAACACTGAAAAAATGAATTCACAAAATATGTAATGCTTTTCCTTTAGAGTAACATAAAAGCTTTAAAACATTATTTTTTAATACATGATTATTTTAAATTACTCTTTAATGAAAAGAATAGCTCCTTATGTTCAAATATTACATAATCAGGATGCAATATGGTAAATGACAAGATGGTTAAATTGGAAAATCAGTCAGAGCTAGGCTACATAGAAGTAGTTGTTGTGGCTGTAAGAGTTTAGCATCATAGTCACAGAAATTAGTTTCTTGTCTTTCAAAACCCATGTCTCTCCTTTGATAAATAGTTCACTCAATCATTGATATATAAAAAATCTGCATATTTCCAAAAGTCCAGATAGCACTGGGACATTTTTATAATTTCTAATTATAGAAATTTTCTATTTCATCTTAACCCTCTTCCCTTCATTCTATCTCTCCAATCTTCAAGAATCATGAAGATTTATAACTAGTGCTGATATGATATCTAGCAAGAACAACAAGGCTGAATACATTCTATTTCTTACCTTGATCATAAACCATCTGACTGGATGTTAGAGAGTGTTTGGTATTGATACAGTTCTAACAAATATTCTAAATTTCTATTTTTTTTCTCTAAAGTTTGTTTTTGTGCCACTTCAGAACACTGCTGTACTCCTTTAAAAATGTATCATGTATCATTATTTGAGTATTTTATAATGAAGTACATTTGAAAGCTTTTGAGAAAATTTCCCTGTAAAAATCAGTACTATAGTAGCCCATTTCTGCTCTTATTTAATTTGTATGTCTTGCGAATTTTGTAACTTTCAAATGCAAAATTTTTAGAAACTTACTCATTTAAACTCATAAAATCACTTGGACTACCCAATTAACATACCTACAATTTTCTTTCCTACAATTTCGCCTATAATTTACTGTTGATTCCTTTATTTTGATAGCAAGTCGACAGGTTTTTAAAAGCAAAAACAAACTTTTCGCAAAACGTTTATTAACATTAAAGTAATAAAATCACTGATTACTTGAAAAAAACTTATAAGTAAATTCATCTCATATCAAACTTTTTCCATGGCTTTTGTTTACTAAATGCTCTATTATTTCCTTCGTTTTATTGCCCAGTTCCTTAAGGAATACAAACATCCTTTCTTTACATATTCTACCTTTTAGTGTTCTTTATCTTATCTACCTAAATGTCAATAAATATCCCTTAAAATACTTACACAAAGGTCTTGCAGAAAAAAAAACAATACATTTAGCAGTTGTTTCCCCTGGTGAGTAGGTCTAAGGGGTAGAGGAAAGATACTTCCATTTTATTAAATTTTCTATATTTCTGTATGGCATGATTTTATGGCAACATCTTTTGTAATTAAAAACAAATAAGGTCTTCTAATTCACTGCATCTAATTGCCACTTTGCATAGTTAATTTACAACATTAGAAAGTAAGATAGTTTAATTATATAGGTTGAGCGCATTTCCTATAAATCCTGACTCAAGTTTCAGAATTCTGTGACAATGTATAATTTGGATTTCAAAATTAGGGCACTCATTTAACCACCTGTCAACTGTTTAATACTTTCCACAAATAATGAAGCTTACATTTCCAACTTACCTGCAAATATAGTTTATTGTCTTTTGTTATTGCATCCATAAGTTCTTTCTGTAGAGGTGGGTCTCCATTTACCCAGAGTCCACTGGTTGGATTATTACCACTTAAACCATTAGTGCTGTTCTGTTTTTTATACAAAAGTACATAAGCTGTGTCCTTTGGAAACCTACTTGTAATTTTCTGGACTGACTGAAAAGAAGTAAATGTCACTCTGCTGTCATTAAATAAAAACCATTCTTTTGACATTTCCTTATTTTCCACATCCTTTTCAATAATTACACTGGGACTATTTCTCCCTAGTAAGTGACTTGGGGAGGATGTTAATGCCAGAGTTTCAGACTGGTGGCACATTTGATATGAAGACTCTGTACCTGTGATGTTTCTGGCATAAGAATAGTAATGCCCACTTTCAGAAGATATACCAGAGTGAACAACAATAGAACTTAATAGGTAGGGCACCAATTTTGGGCAGCAACCTTCTTCAGTCCCAGAAGGCTTTAATTTTTTAGCTAGGTTCTCATTAATATCAGTGAAGTCAACATCTACAGACCAACTTTCTGACAACGAAGAGAAAGAAGTAGTTCTTTTAACTGGCAACTCCAAAACCAGTGGCAGTGACACATTGTCTAAAATTTTTCTTCTCACATGATACTTCTGATCATATGAAAATCTCAGGAGAGTAAGAATAAGGTATTCAGGTTCCTCCGTGATTTGCATAGTTTTCTCAGCATTCTGTAGAGAGGCACAGTTTTCACAATAATATTGGTTGTCACCAGTAAGAATCTCTGGAGCCAAAAAATAATTTAGTAAGTCAGTTACTGAAGGTGTGGTTTCACCTCCTGGTTTCTGAGGTACATCTTTATTGGTAAGAATCTTGTTAGACTCATTAGGGACAGAAGTGTTTTCCATATAATGAAACTCATCAGGAGGACTGCCTATTCTTTCATTCACAACTGAGTCACAGACAAAGGCAGCTGTTACTGGATTATAAAGTACTGTTTCTTCTGAAGAACGAGGTACACTGGCTTGCATTAGACCACCATCTCGTGTACTGGGTGATGATGCTGGATCTTGGAAAGACAAGTTTTCCAAAGAAGATGAAGGACAAAAGGCAAGTGAAAGATCTGTAAAGGCTTCCACTTTTTGTGAGGTGCTCCTGCAGTTCAAACAACATATGTGAGTTCGTAGTTTTCCTCCAAACATTTTTTCTATCAAAGTCTTCTCACCATCACTTGTGCAAGAGGTCTCTGTTAGTACATCTGCCTTACTGGCTACTTCCTGTAAAGAAGTTTCATTGCATCCCAGACTTTCAGAAGACTTGTGTGAGGACTGAACTTTCACAATCTTTTCTTCTTCATGGAGCCTGAAGGAGAGTATATCATTATTTAGCTACTTTGCTTAGGTTTAAATGTAATTTCCATCGAAAAATACTAGTGACTTACATAAATAGCCAAATTATTTTCATCAAATAGAATGCTTAATTTAAAAAATCAAGTTTCTCCTTTTTTAATCTACAAGATTACCGAAATAGTTTGAGAAAGTAAGAGAGGCTAGGGGGCTATTACTACTCTGTATTCTCATTTCACTTTCTTTGTACTGCTATTTTATAGGACTTACTGCATTACAGTTAATTATATACGTTCCTTAGCTGTCTTATATGTCTGTCTGCCTGGCGTCTCATAGAATGGCACAAAGAAACCACTGAATATATCCCTAGTTGAATGGAAGGAAGGTTGCATACGCTGAGCTCAATTTACTTTACTAGTCATTCATGCAACAGAAGCAAGCAAAGACAGAGATACAAGAAGATAATAGGTTTTATTAATTAAGTAGTAATGAGATGTAAAATATACCAAATCCATAAAATTATGAACTGGTCTAAAGGAGAGGCTTTTAAACTTTTTGGTTCTAGTGCTTCTTTATACTCAAAAATAACTAAGGAATTCAAGAGCTTCATTTATGTGGATTATATCTACTGATATTTACTGTTTTCAAAAACTGAGAATAAAATATAAATACATTTAAAAACAATAATAAACCCATTATGTGTTAATATAAATAACATTTTAAAAGTGAAAAATAGTTATATCTTCTAAAATCAAAAAAAACAAACAAAAAAAACCTAGTGAGAAGATGGCAGTGTTTTACATTTTGCAAATATTTTAAGTATCTGGCTTAATAGAAGACAGCTGCATCCTCATATATGCTCTATATTCTTTCTATTGTTTTATGTTTCTTGGATAAAATATACGAAGAAAATGTGACCTCATACCAGACATGTAGTTGTAAAAGAGAAAAACCTTACTCCTGTGAGACTCCTGTGAAATGTGTTTTAAGAACCCTTAGTGGCCCTTGTATTACACTTTGAGAACAGCTGGTCTAAAGTAAGGAAATTTAAAAACAACAACAACAAACAAAAACAAAAACCCCAAATTAGAAACAAAAGAAAACTTAAACATCCAATAAAGGCTGCAAAGGTATTTTAGGTATTTTAAAGATTAACACTTGAAATATGTTTTTAAAGGTAAAAACAATATTAAGTAGAAATAAACTGTTATAAAAAGACACAATTCAAATCATAATTTTAAAAATACTTTTTACCTGTCTAGCAGAAACCTGAGGTATTCAGAACAGTCTTGCTGTGATCTGGGAGTAAACCATGGAGGTCTGGAAGCCTCAAAGAATATCCGAGGTGCATATGCTTCCCTCTTTTGATAGCAATAGAGAAAATATAAGAAAGTGAAAATACAAGTAACTGAAATCTTAATATATAATGTTTAATAAAGATTACTTAAAATTACATTGTACTCAAACTTTATTAAAAAGTGCCAGACATGGGGGCAACTTAGAGGTAAATAAAATTAATTAAAAATACATTCAGGTAACTTTTAGTTAAAACTTCTCATTCTGTAGAGGAGAATTGAGATTTAAAGAAACTGTGACTTGCCCAAGGTCATACAGCTAAATGAGTGGTAGAGGGGAATGACAATAGAACCTAGATCCCTCTAACTCCTTGATGTAATGATCCCCCTCTGACAGTCATGTGTTCGAGTCCACAATTTTTTGAAAAACCATGTTTTTTGAAAATCTGAAAATATGTTAATGAATATATATTTTGACTAAAGTAATACAGGGAATACTCTACAGAGTCATGCACACCTATTTTAGATAAAATTTCCTTGAGTGGGTACACATGTCATAATGTGTAGAATGTGAGCACACTGATTAGGGAGCTTGATTATTGCTTAAGTAGAGAGGCAGGTTAGTCTAGTGGTTGATCAGGCACTCTGGAGTAATTGAGGTTCAAATCCTAGACTTTGCCACAACAAAAAGAACTGAAAAAGCATCTGAAAAGATGTGATTATATCTTAAAAATGTGGAATTCTCCCAACAATTTGAATATTTGTGGCATATAACAATTTAGTCCTCAGTTAAGAATAATTTGTCCCAAATTAGGGGTGTTCATAGCATTTTGAAGAAAGTTTGGCATACTAGTTGAACCTGGGCTTCAGAGCAATTTGGTTCATAACCTCATCCTGCTACTTGTTTGCATGAGTCTGAGCAAGTAACTTAAGCCCAGTTTCTTCATCTGTAAAATGGGGATATATCTTATTACATGATAGATTGGCTTTGAGGATTAAGAGATAATAGAATTAATTTAGCACAGGGGCTAGAAAAATTTAAATTCTCAATACATGTTAGCTTTGTTAATTATAAGAAAAAAAATTATATAGGGGAAATCTACCTATCTAAAATAATATTGTTGGTCTGTATTACTGAAACCAGAGAGGGTTTCAACTGTGACTTTAATTAGGCTTTCTTGTTAATTTCTTTCTTCTTTTCTTGGGAGCAGGGAACCTCCTAAGGTTTTTTTCCTAATAACTCTGATTTTGTAAGTTAATATAGCATATATATCTGCATAAATACATATATATTATATATTATATAATCAATTTACCAGGAAACAGAGACGAGGGATAACGGAGACAGTTTTCTCTTTGTCCTGCTATGTTAAATTTAATTTGTGAACAAATTTCCTCCAGTTAAAGAACAATAAGATTCTCTCTC